AAAAAAAAAAAACGCAATTGTTTAATACTTTCGAAATAATACTAATGTACTTAAAAAACTATGACGTGTAAATCAGCATTGAAAATATGACGAATCTTTCAGAAATAATCGATAAAATACTGTTTGTTATTATTTCAAATGGAACACAGAGGGAAATATCTATTTCTTTGAAAGGAAATTTGCAACTAGTGAAAAATTGCAATCATTAATGAACTTGTTGCTAATCGTTCTAATAATCTCTGTAATATCTACAATCAACAGTTTTATGTGTAGCGTTATTTAAAGAATTGTTCGTGTGATTACAATTTTAATTAATGTTTGTGGCCTATTATATTAGGTGCCATAGAAAGCTTTCCGTATTATTTACAATTATTTTGTATTCACCAAAATTATTTATTACATGAGAAACAAAAAGTAGTTCTAATGCTTTTGCCATTATAACGTCACCTCTGTGCTTGTACTTACGCTGTCAAGCAAAATTCAATAGAAATTATTCGAAATCTATTTCTTAATCGAATGACGCTTCAATCCTCTAAATATAGGAATGGACAACACTGAGAACAAATATTATTTCCAAAGGTATGATATTGGAAGTGGAATTACCTAGGTGTACAAATGCTGTGGTAAAATCCATGATTGCTTAATATGTTGTAAGTTTCTGGTACCGTTCTAACGAAAAAAACAATAGACAATAATGCGAGAGCTCCACTCCAAATAGCAAGTAGTCCTCTTAATTCGAACTTTGGCCTATTTGACATGTAATAACGCCCGGCAAATATTAGCAGAAGGTAAACAACACAGCAATAGAAAGAGATTAGGTGATTGTCCTTCATCCACTTATGGCCACTTTTGTAGTCAAAATTCTTTTCGAAATCGGTCACATAAAAGTAGCTAGGTTGCGTGATATGTTCATGATTCAGTTGTACGTCCATTTTGAAATATCTTTTATTTGACCGTAGACACGCAGCTGCCAATCTATTGAAAATAAAATAATTAAGATTACTTTTCCAGTGGGAAAAAGAAAAAGTGAAAGAATGCAATTGCTGTTGATAATATTTTATAATTGATAATAATAGAAGAATTAATTGTCCATTCTTTAGTGTAAGAACCAGAAATAAATTCTCTTTCCTTCGAATGATGTTCGATAAAAAAAAAAAAAAAAAAAAAAAAACGATCGAAATAGAAATTTCTTTTTTTTTCTTTTTTCCTTAGAATAAGAAAAACATAGATATTTAAAACTAAATAGGATATTTGTATCCCTCCCTAAAATTGTTAAATTTTTGCGTTCATCATTTCTCTCGAAAATGACTAATAAGATGTGTCGATTTGAAAGTTCGAAATGAATTGCATTATGTAACTTCATATGAATAATGCAATTTCCGATGCAATTTATACATATTCACTAGGAATTTTAATGACGATTTTCCTTTCTCAAGTACGCATAATTGGACATTAGACAATAGAATGTTAAGTATAATTTCATTAAAGTGTGTTTTGAACTCTTTTTTTAATTTTTTTTGCACTTCCAGGTTTCATGTTTGTTAAATCTATAAATGACCATTTTACGAAATCTATGCAAAATTTTTTAACGCAATTAGAAACGTAATCTTTCTAAAATTCCAACAACAAACATAACTGATATCACTCTGCAGAATCTTCAGTATTATAATTATTACAATATTCGTTATTCCTTTCATCAATCTATTAACTACAAGATTAAATTAAAGAAGCACATTGCAATAATTTAAAACTGTCCAAACACTTATGCACACTAGTGTGTTTCATCACTAAAAGCTTCTTATAATTCGAAGAATTAATATAGACGGCATCAATGAAATACATGAAGCTAATGCTTCATTTTACTTACGACTTTCTTAATTTTACTTAATTCTGAATATTTAATTAATGAGACATTTTCAGATATTGTATTGTATCATTCAGATATTGTATTTCCAATATTTACTTAACGATTAAACAAACCAATAATCCTATACATTAATCGATAAATTAAATATAATAATATGAAACATAAAATAAGATAAAATGATATAAAATATAAAATTAAATATAATAATATGATCGTGACGATAAATTTCATGCAAACAAATTTTACATTTAGCATTTCGTGTTATTCTTTCATTCTTTTTTCTTTTTTTTTTTTCCTTTCCACACTTCACATTTTACATTTTAGAATTTTACTAGTGATTTTTGTGCAATTTCAAATTTTTGTGAAAAAAATAGTGTGCTGAATAGAAATTTAGTTGCGTATCTGAATATTACAACTTATACTTTAGTTCGGATATTTGTGATATTTTCTAATTTTTGAAATTTGCAAAAGCTGCGCGACAATAATTCAATCTAATGAAATATCATGTAACTGTATTTCTA